TCACTGTAACCCATACTGACTCATCTATACAAATTACTCACCGCTCTCCACTATATTCAACATTCCCTGTTTTAATTTGCCCATAACGGATGATCCCCCTCACGCCGTTTTTTTATTGCATAGAAGGAACTATTTCATAAGCAAACGACCTAGGGGGGGGCAAAGCCGATGGGCAAATAAAAACAGATAATGATAATCTGAGATGTGGTCAGCTGAACATATGCCGGAATGGCTGGTGAGGCCGGAAACCAACGTACCCAGGGATTCACTTGCGAACCATCTGATGGACACTGTCAACGTTCTGGACCCCACAGCTAACCCTTACGATAACCTTGACCTAAATCCAACCCCAAACCCTATCCCCAAACTTACCCCTAGTGCCGTAAATGCACATGCATTGTGGGCGCTTTGTGTTCTCATGTCCTCTTAAGGCGATCATGCAAGTCATTCTAACCCTTCGCAGGCCTGGCATTGACTTTAATGCCGTTGTTTCAACTACCTTTAGAAAAAGTGACACTCAGCGCAATAATGATTCCCTCGACTTGATAGTTGGCATCGAAGGACGATTATAAATTTATCTGAAGCTGTGAACTGCAAAAGACAGAGCAAGTATGCGGACAGTGAGCCAACGCACAGGGGCAAGTCTTCGCTAACATACTCCGAATGAAGACGATGGAGTGTACCAGATTTTGCACCTGATTCAATATCTCTCGACAATGGAGAAGAAATCATCTATTAGCAAACCTGTGTGCAGCCCAATGCGAAGTCGAAGGGGCACGTTCGGCATATGTCGAATTTTGAAGGTGCCGCAGCCACTGAGCAAATCCAAGGACATCAGGGCTATTTCTCCGGCGTGACGTCTACCATTTCGTATGGGCAGCCCCGAGGCAACCATGTAGGCGTCTCCAATGGTTTCCACCTGAAAGAAAGGTATGGCACATAGCTTTATGTTGGGTGGTAAGGCAGTGGTGCTAAGACTGGTCATTTGCATTCATGCCGCGGTTGTTTGAAGGAAATGAATAATTTCGATTAATCTTCCAGAGTAATAACCTTAGGCGCGTAAGGACCAAGCATGACCCCCTTATGCGAGCTTCATATAATTCAAAAAAGAGTGGGCGTACCCCAATCTGAAAAAGCCTGGAAGTAGACAAACTCGCAAATTACTGGACCGTGATTGAATTTCTCAAGGTGTTGTCTATGGTCGTTAAACTTTCGTCGGAGCCAAAGTATTTTTTAAAGTTCGTTTCGTATGACAAGTCAACCTTTTAGGCACTGCTTACTTTGTAGACGTCGTAGTTATCAATGGTTGCATCAAACATTGTGTAGAGGTCATTCAGCAGACCAACCACTTGCAGTGGAGTTGAGAGAGCTGAGATGGTCGTGAATCCGACAATGTCGCTAAAGTAGATGGACACCTCGTCGAAGGTTTCGGGTGCAACCGAATTTCCAGACTTCAGTGATTCAGCCACCACACTGGAAGGTTCGGAGAGGAAGGACAATGCAGTAATTATTATTGGCATTCAGATAATTAAGGTACTGGATGGTCACTGTTCCAAATTCAGTTTTTCTATACATCGGGAAGGCGATCGTTTTTTAAGGGCGTCGTACGTAATACAACTTAGTTTAGTAACTGCCTATTTTCTCTTAACTAGAACGAATGGCTTTAAAGTGACCACTGATAATAAACCTCTATAAAGTGAGTACGTCGTCAGACTTTCTGTGTAGGGGCTCCTAAAATTCATTTATGCTAACGCTGTTGTACATTGTAGCAGACAGTGATGGAAACGATGAAGCCAAACGCACCGTGAAAGATACACACCAATTTGCCTGTCATTCAGCGACCGGAGAATACTCGGGTAAGTCGGCAGAAAGCGTTGCGAGGTTGGTGACTTATCATTGCTGAACAACTACAAGAGGTCACGAGAGTGCCAGACCGGAATATTATGTAGTAATTGTGATTGCGTCCAATGTCTCTTTCCCTCACCTCGTTGGACGTATAACAAGGCTTCTAACTGGTAGATAGGGCACCGTCGAACACATCGCAAATGCAACTGCGACAGTATGCGACGTCTCGATAACTCACTAACCACTGTTACCTTACTCCCAGTGCGAATTTGACTGTCTTTGCGAATCGCCACGGTTGGTGACCTCCAAGTCTACCTCTACACAAACGACCGATCTGTCAGACAAATTATCCAACATGCTTCACGACAGTCTAAGCCGGAAAAGTATGCGGTCTCGGCGTGCAAATTTGGGTTCAGCAACTTGCAGCTTCTAGGGCTAAAGCGTCAGCTGGATGGGGTTGAAGGTTCATTGCAGCCCGCAGATCCACTCTCGCTGCTGAGAACTACCGCTTATATTGCGTCACCATCTATTAAAGATGCAATTTGGCCTTCGTACTTCTTGTTCGCTGTTCGCCAAAATCCAAACCACATTTGACGACTGGATCGCAATTTTTTGGCATACCAGGAAAAATAAAGACATTCAGAAGTGGGATCGGGTGGAAATACCTAGGTCTGCTTACCATCAGTCGCCTTTACACAATAATTTTACGTTGCCATCCTGCTTACCACGAATGAAAGTTTTTTGATATACATATATTCAACTCTGTGGTAAACTTTGTGCTTTCGTTGTACTGCTTACGGTGGAAGGAGTCGAGCTATGAGATATTCCTTTTTACGTTTCTCCGACTCCAGCTCTGCGGTACGTGCACTGACTTGTTCCTCCAGGTCTGTAGAGTACTTCTCCATCATTTTAAACATGTGATCAACGATGTTCGTTTTCCTATAGGGAGAAGAAGAAGATATTGGCCAGTTGGTAAAAGGTTAATTGAGTTTTTTCTCTGAAAGTAGTTGATTTAGAAGTGTGGAATATACGGACACTCAGCTGCGAAAGCTCCCTGCCAAGAGGGCTCTACAGGAAGGATTATTAAGAATATAATTCTTTGTTGTTATGATTTACTTTGCGCATAACTTAACAAATTTGACCTAACGTTCATTTGCGAAAAAGTAGGCCCCCAAAGCACGCTCTACATGCAAGAGGTTTTAAGCACTGTTGACGACATTTAGGACGAAAAAATACACAATAAGGCATTCCTGGCACAAGGTTAGGGAAACCGAAAACAAAAAGTGCTTCCTGACAGTTCAAGTATGCCCCGAGGCTCAACAATCTTCAGCGTCCAGAGCGTGGACAACTATTTCATTACATAAATGTTTTGCTCCTTTAAATAACTTAGTGCAGTGGCAGTGGCGTTTATTCAGTGCCCTTCTCTTTCTCTTTGTGAACGCTACCTTATTACGGCGTATAACATGATTTGAAATGCGAACGTCCAAGAAAACACTTTGGGTACGACATGAACCAAAGGAATCTCATGTAGAACATGTGGCATAACGCCCCATTTCAGGGAAATTAGGGTTTTTAATAAGGCTAGGGTTTGAGTGCAAGATATATTGCAACCCTCATACACGTCTTACTTGAACGATATCCTCAGTATCCGAGAATTAACGCGTCTTATAAGGCGATAAGTGAAAGGGCTACTTTGGTGTGCTTAATAGGGCAATTGTTTATCCAGTGTGCACTTAAAATGGACCTCCAACCAGAATAGCCGGGACAGGCTCTGTGCGCTAGATAGACGCAAAACAGACACTCAACAACCCTTCCATTAGGCAGATGCCATAATAATCGAGACGGCCACAAATCCAGTGTGAAGATCTTTGTGAATTTCAGACTTCCATGGACATGTCCCTTGCCCTCTTTCGATGAGCCGCACATCGAGAAAGTTCTGTTAGTTGGACGGTTGGAGCAGAATAGCTGTTTGTACAGCCAAAGGATTATCAGGTCCCTCTCTTAAAAGTTTATATTGACATTTAAACTGTGATATCCTGCGTGGACCAAGCAATCAATCGCCAATTACTTCTGTGAGAAGAATTCTGTTTTCTCTACTTGCTAATACTGCAATTGCCCTGAGCTAATTATCGATGACAAATTTCGTTTGTTACGAAGGATAAATTACGAACGTACTTCCCCATCGTCATCAGCTTCAAGT